CCTCCTTCTCCTCCTCCTTCTCCTCCTCCTCCTCCTTCCCATCCTCCTCCTCCGGCCTCCTCCTTCTCCTCCTCCTCCTCCTCCTCCTCCTCCTCCTCCTCCTCCTCCTCCTCCTCCTCCACTTGCTTTTGCGCCCGCCTCTCGTCACAGGCAGCCACGGCCTCGGGTGGCCCATCGGCGGCCTGGATCAGGGCGGGTGCGCAACAGGGAGCGCCACGTCCAGCACAGTGCGCAAGGGCCAAAGGGGGTCAGTCGACACGACCGTGGACGCGCCGCACGCAGAAGAGACCGAGGAGATCTAGGAGGATCGAGGACCGAGTTTCCTGGACGCTCATGGCACTTTGAGCCTTCCGAGGCCTCGTGAGGCATCCAGAGATTTGGAGGCCTCCAGGGACCTCGGGAGACATCTGGTGCAGCAGGGATCGACCTAAACGGTGCTTTTCGTTTTCGTGCTGCTTTCGTCTTCCCTCGTTGTGTCTTCAATCCGCCTTCTCTGCGAAACGAAATCGAAACGAAACCGGGCCACGACATCGCCAAAACACCGTTTAGGTCAACCCCTGTCAGTGCACCGACCTTGCAGACGTACTTTAGCGGATTGTTGCGTGGATGTCCGTCGATGCAAAACTACGAAATGACGAGCGAAAAACGAAATAAACTTCACGTGGATTTGGTTTAGTCTCCATTCCGGGCCAAACAAAATCCGCACGAAATTCACTGCGAACTCCAAAACGACATTCTCCAGGACACTCCGGGCCTATCCGATTGTTTTCTGGGCGAAATTCGCTCTGCGATGTTGGCGCCATGGCCGCTATGGTGCAGCCTTCGCTGCAGAACGAAGTCGAAACAACAACGAACCACGACATTGCCAAAATACCGCTTAGGTCAACCCTTGCGTGGCTCTTTGCCCGGCCGCGGGGGGGGGGGGGGGAATTGGGGCTGGGGCCGTCCGACATGACTCGCGGCTCGCCGAGGCCTGATCGTGTGCCTCGATGAGGAAGCCACCGAGGCGGCGAGCGGCGCGGTGAAGGTCGAGGGGCAACGACAGGGGGGGGACTGGTGGCATGATATGAGGGGCGGGCGCATCGACCTGGAATCGGCGAGGCAGCGCCCATGGATCAGCGATGGGCCCCCGGTCGTGAATCCGCACGTTCTTGGGCAGGTTGGGGCTATTGGGACCCCATTGGCGATCAATGGGCGATTGGAGGTCAATGCCCCCGCCCCTCCTTGTGCCCATCCCCCCCCCCATCGTTGCCCCTGAAAGGTGCACCTGGGATGGAAGGTCCTCGTGGCCCGCGTGCAGCTCGCGCGGGCGGCAATGGTGGGTGGGCGAAGCCCCGGCGGAAACTGCGGAGACGCTGCAACATGTATTTGGCTGGGCGCTCGTCACTTGGCCTTGCCCGGGCTTGTCCGATTCGTGCCAATTGGCCTCCTGGCCCCTCAGAGGACCGGAAAGCGCAATGGCAGCAGCCGAAGGGAACCGCCGTTGCAGGCCCTCTCAGGCCCTTCCGTTGAACGTGGTCATTGCCTTCTCCAGGCCGCCCTCGGCAAGCGCCTCGATCGCGTCGGCGGCCCGCTCGGCCGCCGCGTCCAGCGCAGCCGCCGCTTCCGGGTCCTGCGCGCGACTGAGCACCCACTCCGGGCCCCGCCCCTTCGGCGGCTTGCCGACGCCCACGCGCACGCGCACGAAGTCGAGGCTCCCGAGGCGCGCGGCCACAGAGCGCAGCCCGTTGTGGCCCGCCTCGCTGCCCCCCAACTTGAGCTTCAGCCGGCCCGGGGGCAGGTCCAGCTCGTCGTGCACCACCACGACCTGCTCGGCCCTGGCGACGCCGTGGGCACGGCATAGCGCCTCCACGGCCACGCCCGAGCGGTTCATGTACGTGCGGGGGCACGCCAGCGCCACCTTGCACCCGCCCAGCACGACCGTGGCCACCAGCGCGCAGGCCCCGCGCGCCGGGGCCAGCTCGGCTCCCAGGCGCGCCGCCAGCAGCCTGATGACCTGCGCCCCGAGGTTGTGCCTGGTGCGCTCGTACTCCGGCCCCGGGTTCCCCAGGCCGACCACGAGGAGGTCCACCGGGTCGGCGAACGGGGGCGCGGGGCCGCCCAGGAGCACGAGGCGCCCCGCGAGGGCAAAGGCGCACAGGTGCCACACCGAGTGCACCAGGGCGTAGGTCCAGCGGGTCAGGCCGCAGAAGTCGCTGGCCAGGAGGCAGCAGACCCCGAGCACGGCCTGCGCCAGCGAGCCCGCGGAGCTGCTCAGGCGCCGCAGCGCCTCCGCGGGCCCGCCGCAGGCCCACGCGGTCGCCGCGAAGGCCACCGCGGCGCAGGCCCTGTCCACGGGCAGGAGCTGCTCCTCGTACCCGGCCCAGGCCCGCGCCCAGCCGGCGCCCGGCAGGTCGTGCGACCCGCAGTCGTGCCGCGTGGTCTCCGCCGCGTGGTAGAGCAGGGAGGCCGCGGAGGCCAGCGCCTGGGATGCAAAGGAGCACCGTGAAGTCGGGCTGGTCCTCCCACAGGGGGGACCTTGGATGACAAATTCACAAGTAGTCCAACAATACCCCCCAACATGGCCAAAAGATCTTCAAAACAATGTCCCCGCATTATGTGTGGACTATCTTTGAATATATCCCTCCTGTAGAAAGACAGGCCCGACTTAAGGGTACCGGTGCACGCCACCGCTCCCCGGACCTTTCCCACGGTGCGTTCCGACCAGAGTTCCGAGGCGGATCAGTCCGTGGCTTGGAGGTGGCCCCCGGGAGGCCCGCCAAAACACGAGAACAAACGAATAAGACATATCGATATCAGAGTGGATTCCTCCTCCGAGATCCCGCCGACCAGAATGCGCTAAGAATCCGTCCCCGAACATTCCACTTCTGACGGTCCTGGGCTCGAGAACGGCCTCCATGCGCCGAAAAACACAAAAAAAACTCGATCCCAGAGTTCCCCCGGACGCAGAAAAACCTAAGGACATACGTGGTACGATGTGCTTCCCGTGGAGACCCACGTCCGACCAGAACATACAACACGAACATGTTTTGGCATGGCCGTCCAGAAAGCATGGCCAGAAAACTCCCGCCACGGAGACTGCATAGTAAGCAGTTTCAATGTGTGCGTTGCCGCAGGTGTACCAACACACACACACACACACACACACACGCCATCAATATACCTGGGGCGTTCGCAATCTGCCGCGGACCGCAGAAAGCTCACCGCCGCGCTAGCCACGTGTTCGTCACCGTGCCTTGAACATGCGGCGGGGCGCCCCAACACTCACGCACTGGCGAATACTGCGACCCCATAGTATTTGGCGGGTTCTGGAAACCACGGGCCCATACAATCGGCTGCTCCTGGCGGCGCACCTCTTATTCCCCGCCGGCGGAGGCGCCCTCGCTCTGCTTCCGACCGACGCGCACTACCCCCCCATGACCGTTCGGCGCGGGAGGGCCCGCGCGGGGCTCTGAAATATCGCGCGGACGGCTCTGGCATAGACGCCACGGTAAACCACGACCGATGTAAAGAAGTGCGGAGGAGAAGGCCTTGTCATAATGCGGCGGGACCACTCAGAAGCGCTCTGGCCTTTGAGAAGCTTCCTGTGTGTTCGGGGAAGTCTCAGGAAACTTCTCAGAAAGCGGACTTCCCAGTCTTCTGCGAAGGTCTTCCCCTCCTCACTTCCCCCCGGGCGCGACTCCGAAGGTAGGCATCTTCGCACCCCAACCCCGCCCCCGCGCGTCCCCTGCTTCTGCCGGCTTCCGCCGCCCCCCCGCCGAGGAAGAGGCGCCAATCTCTCCACCTCTTGAAGGGCCAAAGGGGGGGGGGGGGGGGAAGAAGGGGAGCAGGAGGAGGGTGGAGGGAGGGAGGGAAGGAAGGAGGGAGGGGAAGGGGGGAGGCAAGCTAGGTGCGCTCGCGTCATATCTGACATTATACCCCTTCCTCCCATCCCTCATCATGGCGTAGATCCCCTCTCAATTCGCACAGTCGGATGTCGTAGCGTGGCATAGCATCACATGGAATAGCATGGTGTTGAAGATCAACGCATAACATGACATAGCATGGCGTGGCGACGCCCCAAAGTAGGGGGGCTTCTGCGGCCCAAAGCATCAACGAGTCGACCCCGAATGCGTAATCACTTCCGATCGTATTTTTTTCGGGGGGGGGCATTTTCTAGATTTTCGAGCCTAGTTGGAAGGACCGAAAACCATGCCGTGGCATGGCACTGGAAATACTGACGCCAGCGCTGCAGCCGGAGCACGATTCGAACGAGCGGAAGCGCGGAAATTATGCCAGCGCTGCAGCGGGAGCACGTTTCGGAACGAGCGGAACCCCGAACAGGAGGCCAGCGAATCAGCGGGAACAGCATTTTGGAGAAAAAAAGCCAAGCGGGAATCAGGTGTGTTAAAAACAATACGCGGAGGGGGGCCGAACATCTTCTGGACGTCATTCAGGGGAGAAGGGAGAATAGTACTCACAGTGTGTAATTGTGGAGGGAGGGAAGGGCGGAAAGGGAGGTGGAGGAGGAGGAGGGGGAGGAGGAAAAGCAGAATGAGGAAAATGACCAAAGCAAACCACAAATGCACAAACGACGCTGGGGAGGGGGGGGGAGCGGGCCGGGGCGGAGGGGAGGGAGGAGGAGAAGAAGGAGGAGGAGGAAGGAGAGGAGGAAAAGGAGGAAAAGGCGGAGGAGGAGGGAGGAGGAGGAGAAGGAGCGCGAGGAGAAGAGTAAAAAGAGGGGAGGGAGCACGAGGAGGAGGGCTCGAGGAGCACGCAGCCCCGAGGGACGACCGACGACGGCGGTGCGGCAGGAATCCAAAGCATGCCCCCGGCCGCAGCGCGGCAGAGAAGGCGGGCGGGGCCCGCCCGTGGAGCTGGCGCAGGCGGCGCCGCGCCGACGTTGGGGAAGCGGGCTCGCTCTGCGTTGGGGGGCGGTGGCCAGTTCAGTTCGTGATGAGCAGCGCGGCGAATATCAAGATAGAGAGCGACAGGCAGGAGCTCGCGGCGGCCGACGGGCAGCCGCGGGAACAGAGAGGCACGAGCACCAGCAGGGAGCGGATGAAGCTGGGCAGGAAGACTGGACGGTGGCGGCAAGAGGTGGGAGGTGCGCCCACAAAGTACGAAGCATGCTATCTGAATCGGCGTGCTGACAAGACGTGCAGGATTCTGCCACTCCACGATAGCGATGGGTGGTGCACCGAGCATTACAAACAAATGCGAAGAACACTACTTGCGACGCAGGCGGGGGTATGGGCGGAGATGCGCTTCAGAGGTGAATTCATGACATCGAGCTAGTGCGGGGAGGGTGGGGTGGGGGGGGATGAACAGAGACGATGCAACAGGGCCGAGCGGAAGGAGACAGATATGGCGGCCTCAGACTTAATCCGGAATTCTGGGGAGCCGAACGGCGTCATGGTCGGGATCTGGCTCAGTGAAGTGTTGTTGGTTATGAGGTGGAAGCTTTAAGAGGAGAGCCAGGCAGGGTCCTTCTTCCATCCAAAGATCGCGTCATCATCACCTTTTTCTCTAACAATTGATTGGCCTGCTGGAGCGCACTCACATGACGACGGTCCGGTATGTAGCGACGCACGCAGCAAGCTCGAGTGCTCTGCTTGCGTCGGAACGCCCCAGGAAAGGAGATTATGAAGGAAATCCTTAAATATACGGTTGTTCGGCGCATGTGTGAGGCTCTGCTGGGCTTTCCTGACGGCGGTGAAGGCCCGCTTCGTCGGCGGGAAAACTGCATCACGTGTGAGATGACCAAGAAAGGGAGGAGGAGGTTGAAGCAAACGATGATGTTGCACATCCCCAGCCGAAAACTTTTGACTCCATGGGCCCAGGAAACACGTTTGATAGATATAACAGTTCAGAGTAATCTCAATATGATTCCCGCGAGCTTCGAACGTCAAGTCATCCGCGCATATGCTGACCGCATATAACCAATGTTTACAGGACGTCTCGCTGAGTTTTCCAAGCGGGATATGGACGGACTGTTTGCACGTGGATATGTAGCCCACCTGCGGCACCAGCAGTCTGCCAGGCAAGGAACATAGATTTAAAGATCTGGAAGATGTCGGCAGCTGCGACACTGACGTCGTCCGCGAACGCGACCAACCAGCTGAAGCCCTTGGGGATCCTGGTCAGCACATACCTCAACAAAGGGTCCATGACCAATCGGAGACTAGCGCCTGAAAGAAGACAGCCTTGTTTGATCCTACGGGGTGCCAAGACACGTGCCCATGGAACCCATAGAAGTTCACATCAATGAAGACGTCCGTGAAGAGAACCTGGATACTCTTACGAAAACTGGTCGGGAGCTCCCTGATTGCGAGACACTGACAGATCATGAAGCGGAGGAGGGTGGGAAAAGCGGATGTAACGTCATAGCTGAGCATCCCCGCAGAACGTGTGCCCTATTCGAGCACACCAGGTAACAGCACGGCTTTCGAGATCAATTATGTCTACGTGTGTGAAACGGCCTGGTATAAAACCTCGCTGGCGATCTACGACGGTCTGACAAGCAATCCCGGCAAGCGGAATCGTTAAGAACGACCGACAACCTGTTGTCGGAGCCAGCGAGCGTGATAGGCCTGGTGGCTCCGGGATTGCGCATGGAGGAGAGCTCGAGGCGGAGGAAGAGGAGGAGGAGGAGGAGGAGGAGGAGGAGGAGGAGGAGGAGAGCTCGAGGAGGAGGAGGAAGAGGAGGAAGGAGGAACACCAGGAGGAGGAGGAGGAGGAGGAGGAGGAGGAGGAGGAGGAGGAGGGCCCCTCCCTGGAGCGCCCCGCTCGGCGTGCCCAGGGGTGGCCTCCCCCCCCCCCCCTCCCCCCCCGAGCGCCAGCGAGCAGGCCCACTGCGCGCTGCCGCCGCCCCGGCGCACCGCGGCCCCGAGGAACGGCAGGGCCGCGAGGCTGGAGAGCGCGGCGGCGTCATTGGGCGTCACCGCGGCGGCGGCCGCGGAGCCCATCGGCGGCGCCGCCGCCGCCCCCGGCGGCGCGAGGGAGGCTCGACGATCCTCGGAGCGTGCGTCACACGCTTTTCTTCTTCAGGAGCGGTTTCGCCATGGCGACCCCTCAGCATCCCCGGCAGCACGTGCAGTGCGTCTGACACCAGGGTGGCGCTACTGGCAGTTCAGGGAGGAAAACAGCATGCGTATACGCTGGGAAGGACCTGTCTCCAACGCGTCACACTCAAAACGTGTATGAAGGACGGGTCTCGCCATCGCTCGGACGTCCATTCCGTTTTTTTGGGGGGGGTTCCTGCGGGTTTTTTTCGCCAAATGATCGAGGATGATCGAGGATGCTCCTCGCCGAAGGAAAAATGCACACGTCCGAGCGATGCCAAGAACGCTAGACCCTGGAGGCCGAAGTTAGAGCCTCCTGGGCGGCGGGCGACCCCGGGTGAACGGCAAAGGACGGGCCGCAGAGGCAAGGACACACGGGCACCCTAGCTGAAGGCGCGCGCCCTTACTTGACTACCTGCCAGACCACCCCAACCCAACCCGAAGACCCGAATTTCGGGTTGGAAGGGGTAAGGGTTCCACATGTGCTTTTTCGATGTTTTCCCCGCCCCCCCCCCCCCCACTGGAAATCGAGGGTAAACCTGAGCCTTCGGGTCGGGTTGGAGTGGTTTGGTGGGTGTTGCCTAGTAATTACTAGGCGCGTCGGCTGCAGCGCCAACGTGTGCTCGTCCTCCGCAGCTTCTCGCCGCGACGACACCGGGCGGCGCAGTGAGGGCCGACGCGGGCTGCGTGCGGCTGGCGGGGCCGCGCGGGGTCTAAACGCACACACAATTGGGCCCACCCACGCCCTGAGGATCGTCGAGAGGCTCGGCCGAGGACACCGCTACAGTCGGGGCCTTGACCTGAGGAAGCCTGAATAAGGAACGAGGCCCCTTCTTTCCATAAGTCAAACTTCGATTTACCACTGAAAACCTAAGGAAAACCCAAGTCAAACTGTAAAACAATCAAGGAACACCGAGCCCCTCCCCAACGAACAGGGTTCCTTCTTCAGGGCCCCGATTCGGCCGCTCCAGCTGCGCGGGAGGGGAAGCCACCCCCGGCAGGAGTGACCTTCCAGGGCGCGGCGCGCCGATCGTCGCACGCACGGCGAGGGCCCTGGGCGGCCCCTGGGCGGTCGGCACTGAAGGGGCCCTGGGACACACAAATAAATACACACAAATAAAAATATTCCCCATATTTTATCATATTTTCTGGGTTTCTGTCTTCCCCCCCACTTCCCATGTTTTCCAATATTTTCTGGGGAATCGACGATTAATTGTGTCTGTGTGTTTTTCTCCTCCTGAGGCACCCTGCTCCCAGCCGGACCTGGGACGGAAGAACATCCCCCAAGAACGTGAGACCCTCCGCCGGCCAAAACGCACAGATCATCCAAGACTACCCTCCTCAGGATGCACAAGAGCAACCAACAAGCACGAAGAGCATCAGGACACCCTCCCCGGACCGACCTCGATCTTTATATCCCTCGGTCCGACTGTACCCGGATCCCCTCGAGTCGTGAAAAAGCATGGCGGAAGGTTTGTTTGGGCGATGTCCTGCATCTGGGGGCCACACTGGGCCACCGCACTGTCAAAATAAGAGCTCGGGATCAACACAATTCGGCCCCGGGGAATTTGGTCAAAACCTCTTGGGGGTCGAGGCTGCGAAAGAACATGACGTCGGTGGCCTGGGTACGGTGAGGGAATGGATGGGAAACCATTGGATAAGGAATCCAGCTGGAAGCCGATGGAACTCCCATCGTGGAGTGGCCATGGTGGCAGGCCCAGAGGTTGACACCAATACCAAAATCGGCGGTGTGCTGCCACCGAGGGGAGATGATCCCGACCTCGGTAATGGTGGCAAGATTATGGCTTCCTAGGCGGCCGACAGATTGCCACCGACACCGAAATCTACGATCATCCTCCCCTGGTGGGCGCATCCCCCTGTTTTGGTGGTGCTGCCAATTTCGACGCCTCCAACATGGATACCCCTGCCGAGCTCATCAGAGAAGGAGTCCCCCAGGGTCTGGGCCTGAAGCCTCATGGGCACACTCCTGAACCGACGCCCCAGCCGCAGTGCGACAGCGGCTGGTGGCTGCCTGCGTGCTTGGGGTTGGGCCCTTCTCCTCCTCCTCCTCCTCCTCCTCCTCCTCCTCCTCCTCCTCCTCCTCCTCCTCCTCCTCCTCCTCCTCTCCTCCTCCTTCCTCCTCCTCCTCCTCTCCTCGTCTCCCTCGTCTCTCCTCGTCTCTCCTCATCTCTCCTCATCTCTCCTCATCTCTCCTCCTCTCTCCTCCTCTCTCCT